CATTCCAGAGAAGGTTCGGGAATTTACTTCAGCACATATTTTTGGATACCTGGCCTATGCCGGGGGTCCCGAGAGAGGGCATCTGCCCTTGTCTTGTCCCTGATTGCCCATCAGTGGAGCAGGCCCCAAACTGCCCTCATTGCCCTATGGCCCTGGGGTGACAGAAACAGGTGTGGGCCGAGTGTTATGCTGGGGGAACTGAGAGTTCTCAACCCTGCCTTGGGAATGAGGGAGGCCAGTGCTCCCACACTCTCTAAGCTCTTGTACCTAGGACTGGCCTAGAAAGTTAGGAACCCTGCTCACCTGATTTCAGAGCCTGGTACAAGTCCGGCAGGGGATCCTGGGGGAGTGGTGAAGGGCAAGGTCCTAGTGCTACCCTCTAGCAGCCCTTGGCTCGGGACACTGCATGACCAGGGCCTAGGACAGCACTCATATGGCACATGGGTCTAAACAAGGGTCTGAGAGGCTGCCTAGGAAGAGCAGAGGCCCAGTCCCCTTGCCTTGGGCCCACAGCCATGTGGAAAGCACAGCCTCCACTTGGGCTAGGCTTTGAGCCCCTAGCTGGCACAGCCAAACACGGGGTGGCCTGAGCCCCCCCCACCCCAGGTGAGCTGGCACCAGATTTGCTTCCATCTGCCAGATCCCAGGCTTCTGCGCTGGACTCCTGAGATTCCACCTAGGACCCTGTTTCCATCCACCTCTGGTGCCACCTGCCTTCTGTGTTACTTGCTTATTACTGTTTTTATTTAAATAGATTTTGTGACAGTTCACTTTTTACTTAGCCCTGTCTGTGAATTCACGGGTCTGATGTGCTAGTTAGGTTTTCTTTCAAACCATTAAAATAAGTGCATGACTATTTTTGAAACGTTTTAAAGACGTGTTTGCGTGCACAGCGCCTTGGCATCCCTGGCTGCATCTGACCTGAGATACCTGTTTCCTGGGGAGGAGGCAGAACGCACTCAGCAGACTGAAGAGCAGGGGTGGTCCCCCTAGGATGTCATGCACCATGGAGAACCAACAGGGCCTTCCCTGGACGTCCGTGGAAGGGCCCCCTCCCCAAGTGGTGGCAGCTGGTGCAGCTCAGGGGCCACCCCTGGGCCTGGCTTTCTGTTCCGGGGCTCTTCACACTCTGATGATGATGGTGCCGTGGCAATAACAGAGAGGTTACACAATTACCCTTCATGTAGCCCCGGGAGGAGGTGCTGTTTTATCCCGTTTCACAGAGGAGCAGCTTGAGACAGCTGGACTGAGCACCTGAGGCAGGGGAGTGGCAGCCCTCTTATTCTGCTCTGTGGGGTCCTGGGCCTGCCCTCGAGTGGAGGTACACATGCTGGGAAGGGCTGTTGGCCTGGGACATGGGGACCCAAGGGTCTGTGGGTGAGGCTAGGCCTCAGAGGGCAGACTAGTTCTTGGGCCCGAGGACACTGCCAGGCCGGCCCCTGGGAGGACCAGAGCTAGAGGGTGTGGCACTGGCAGCCCTGTGGAAAGTAGGACAGCTCAGAGTATGAGGATAGTGCCACAGCTGAGTGTGCCTTTATCGCTCAGGCTGGAGGGGCCCAGGGCCTGTGTAGCCCAGGCTGCTGTGGCACAGACCCTGCAGCTAGACTGTCCCCGAGTCCACAGCCCTGCCTCGCCTTCTGTGAGCCGTGTGATCTTCACTAGTCACTTAACCTCTCTGTGCTTGGTTCCTTGTCTGGAACCTCTTGGGTGGCTGAAGGTTCACCGATTTCACACATGTAAGGTGATGCAGCGAGTGCTCGGTGGGTGTTGTTGGTCTTATTGTCCAACAAAGGGCAGTGGGCATGTGGGGTGGCAGGGCTCATGTGCTGCTTGGTGCAGGTGCCTGCAGCTCCAGGGGCAGGCCTTGGGATTGTGGCCATGCGCTCCTTTGGCTACTCGCTTATCCCATGTGCTCACTGTGCCCAGGCTGCATCAGGTGACGTTTTGGCGGCGGGGGAGGCGGGGGGTCGGTGGGGCACAAAGCAGAGACCTCATGGGCAGTATGCATACAGAGGCCATAAGGAACTCTGTCCTACCCACCCCCTGGGTGCTGGCTTGGCATTGGACCATGCCATCTTGGGCAGCTTCCTCGGGCAGGGGTCTCTGTCCCACAAGCTGGAGACCAAGGGCTGTGGGCAGCCCTGGGGAGGCTGGGATATCCCCTCCCCCAAAGTGATGCTGCTCAGCAGCTCCTTCCCAGGGCCCCTTCTAGCAGAAAGCGGCAGGAGACCTGGTAGTAACTGAGGCAGCGGGACCAGCGAGCTTGCAGGGCCCAGGCCACCTCCCCTCAGTCATGCTCTTCAGCTGCCACATGGCACCAGGCTTCCTAAGATCCATTCTGTGGGCCACCCAGGGTTCTTGGCTGGGCCAGGGGCTTCCTCCCCGAGGTCTTGCGCAGGTCTGACTGTATGTCAAAACAGGTGAGGTGGGCAGTGGGTGCACCCTCGTGCTGCCTCATGGTCTCTCTGTCCCCACAGTGCGTCTCCATGACAGCATCTCCGAGGAGGGCTTCCACTACCTGGTCTTCGACCTGTAAGTGCCAGCTGGGGTGGGCCCTGCAGCCTCCCTGCCTCTCCTTGGGTTGGGTTGTCCTGACTTCCTGGGGCCTCTACTCCATGTGTATCCAATGAGCTGGAGGCCAGTAGGGGTGGGAGAAGGACCCTAGAGAATAGTCAGCAGCCCTGATCACCTTCATTCCCCTGGTGCCTCATCACGGCTGAGCTGGATGTGTGCATGTGTATGTGCACATGTATGTACACACATGAGAGTGAGTGTACTTGTGGGGTGAATGCATGCACATTGGCATCGTGAATGTATTGTAGGTATGTGTGCATGTGAAAGGTGCATGATATGTGTGCACATGTGAGTATGTACACGTGTGCATGGGTATTATGTAAATGTATGTGTGTGCGTGTACATGCGTGCATAGGCATTGTGTGAATATGTGTGCCCATGTGATGTGGAGGTGTCCATACATGTGTGCATGTGTGTGCATGTGGACATGGGTAGCTGAGTGAGAATGTGTCTGGGGCCACTGCTGCCTCTTGTTTCCCACTGGATTTATTTTTATTGATTTATTTTTAAAATGTTTGTTTATTATCATTATTATTTTTGAATTTGCTATAGGACATGTACACTCACCAGAAAGAGAGACTGAGGGAGAGAAAACAAGGCAACAGGTCTGGGACTCAAACTGTGTTCGGCCATGTGGGAGTCCAGTGCCTTAAACACCATGCCACCTGCCAGTCCCTCCTGGTGGATTTAGAAACCGTGATCTCAGCTCATTCCTGAGAGTGGCTTCCACCAAGAAGTACTATATTTAGCTGTCCATGGGTAGATGTGACTGGAGACCCTAGGTTGGGCAGGGGCCACAGCTTTGGTCTGCCCCTTGGCCTCCAGGAAAGCCTCACGCTGTTGCCATGGCTATCTAGCCCTCCCTGCGGTGTTGGTTTGCCCACAGCTGCAGGCTGAGCTGTTGCTTCAAATGACAGCTCTCTAGGCCATGAATGTGCAGGCCTAAGGAGGGTCCCCTGGCCAAGAGTGGCTGGGGCCATCCCTTGGGGCTTGGTTGCCTCTTGGTATCTGTGTTTCTCATAAGACACCACCTCAGATCACCAGCTAGGTGACATGCTGACCAGGGATACAGCCATCTCTGCCCAGCCCAGGATCCTGAAGTGTCTGTCCCATGATCCCAGGATGTGTGTGCCCTGAACCAGAGAGGCCAGTGGGCTAGAGTGACGTTGTCCAGGGCCCTGGTGGCCCACAGACAGCTGCCTGTGTTTCAGCACCTGAGGATGGGGAGAACAGTGTGTGTGTGAGCATGTGTGTGTACCTGTTTGGAGCCTTTGTCACTCCTGGCTGGCCAAGCACATGCTATTTATGTGAGATGAGCCAGAAAGACAGTTTTTGCTAGGGTCTAAAGGGACTCTGCCCACTTACTCCTAAAACTGCCAAGGCCCTCACACCTCAAGAGCCTCCAGGGCAGCAGAGAAGTGAGAGCAGTTTCTGGGGCAGCTGGCCTTACCCTCAGGAGGCTGGAGGCTCCTTGGCAGTGTCAGACCTCTGTGGATTCTGGGGGGCTGACAGATATCCCCACTCACTACACCTGGGCTTGTCACAGGGCAGAGGAAGGAGACTCCCATGTGTAAAAAGGCAATGACCCTGAGGTCTAAGGCAAGGGTGGAGTGGAAGGCAGAGGCAGGAGCTCCCAAACTGCCCTCCTGGGCCTGTGCCCAGGGTTCCCAATCTCCATGAGCTTGCACAGATGAGGCCACAAACTACTTCCCTAAAGCTCTGGATGCTGCACAAAGTGGCCCTACCGGGAGTCCCAGGGGCCATTGACCCAAACTGCAGCTTCCTGAGCACACGGGGCACCCCTGAGGGCCAGCACTTGTGGGGTTCCTCTGGGCTGCTGTCCTGATAATGGTGGTGGTGATGGTGATGATGGTGGTGGAGCTGATAATAGTAATGATCATGGTGGTTGTGATAACAATGGAAGTGATGGTAATGGTGGTAATGATGATGATGGTAGTACTGATAGTGGTGATGGTGATGGTGGTGGTGGAGCTGATAATAGAAGTAATGATGATGGTGGTAATTATGGTGGTTGTGATAAGGATGGAAGTGATGGTAATGGTGGTGATGGTGATAGTGGTGGTGGAGCTGATAATAGAAGTAATGATCATGGTGGTTGTGATAAGGGTGGAAGTGATGGTAATGGTGGTGATGGTGATGGTGGTGGTGGAGCTGATAATAGAAGTAATGATCATGGTGGTTGTGATAAGGGTGGAAGTGATGGTAATGGTGGTGATGGTGATGATGGTAGTACTAATAGTGGTGATGGTGATGGTGGTATTGGTGTTGGTGACATGGTGATGATAGAGATGGTGGTGGTGATAGTGGTGATGTTGGTAGTGATGGTGACAGTGATGGAGCCGACAGGGTAGGTAGCAGGAGTCTTCAGAATGCATGACCCCTGTGTGCTTTTCCTGCAGGGTCACTGGTGGGGAGCTCTTTGAAGACATTGTGGCGAGAGAGTACTACAGTGAGGCTGATGCCAGGTGGGTCTGGAGCCCTCACACCATCCTACCCCTTTCCCTCACCCCTTGCCGTCTCTTGTGCAGCCCCATTCCTGCCCCTTCTTCTGACCAATGTCTGCCCCTGCGCAGCAACACCCTTTCCATGGCCCAGGTGGGATCAGCTGAGTAGACGTGTCATTCTGCTCACCCAGCCAACAATTCCCTGTCTCAGGCCTGCTGGGAGCTCTCTGAGCTGGTAAAAGGAACAGGGGACAACTTATGTTGTCTGTGCCCAGGTGGGAGGTGGCCAGACCCAAGTGGACACCAGCCCCCAGCAGGGATGCAGGTGGAGTGGTAACAGGCATCCTGCCCTTGTCCTGGACAGTGACCTAGTCCACAGCCCATAATGGGCACCCGCTGACTGACCTTCCCCACAGAGATGAGCAGTTGCCAGATGCTTTGCTCCATCCGAGGCATCCTCTCAGGGCCACCTTCCCTGGATTGGGCATAAAGGGAAAAAGGCCAGCCATACATGCTGGTTGAGAAGGGTGCCCTGGCCCCTCTCAGCCCCATACCACTCACCTAACCCAGGTCAGTGGGCAGAAAGCTGGGAGATCGAAGCCTCAGCACAGGCAGGAGGCCAACTCCCCTCTGTGCCTGCACCTCGGAGGGCTTAGCCTGGGCCCGTGGGTCCTGGGTGGGGTGGAGAGGTCTGGGTTCCATCCACACGAGCCTTTGCTGGACCCTCAGGTAGGCCTTCTGTGGAGCCAGCCCTCATCAGGAGATAAAGAGCAATGGAGGGATGGGTGACCCTTTGTGGCATGGCTGCTGGGAACTGGGATGAGGAGTGTCAGCAAGGGGATGACAGGTTTGTCCCTTGAATGGTTGGCTCTCCTGGAGACCTGCTGTTCACCAGGCTGTGCCCACCCTACTGTGCCTCAGAGATGAGCACTTATGAGGGGAAATGCTCACAGTGGCCCCCTCTGGGTGGAGGGGCTACAGATGATTTCAAATTTTTTTTGTCTTCTCTATTTAAAACTCTTCTTTAATGAATATGTATTAATTTTCTAATCAAGAAAAGTGCATATATATATATACATATATATATATATATATTTTTTTTTAAAAGCTGGGAGATCGAAGCCTCAGCACAGGCAGGAGGCCAACTCCCCTCTGTGCCTGCACCTCGGAGGGCTTAGCCTGGGCCCGTGGGTCCTGGGTGGGGTGGAGAGGTCTGGGTTCCATCCACACGAGCCTTTGCTGGACCCTCAGGTAGGCCTTCTGTGGAGCCAGCCCTCATCAGGAGATAAAGAGCAATGGAGGGATGGGTGACCCTTTGTGGCATGGCTGCTGGGAACTGGGATGAGGAGTGTCAGCAAGGGGATGACAGGTTTGTCCCTTGAATGGTTGGCTCTCCTGGAGACCTGCTGTTCACCAGGCTGTGCCCACCCTACTGTGCCTCAGAGATGAGCACTTATGAGGGGAAATGCTCACAGTGGCCCCCTCTGGGTGGAGGGGCTACAGATGATTTCAAATTTTTTTTGTCTTCTCTATTTAAAACTCTTCTTTAATGAATATGTATTAATTTTCTAATCAAGAAAAGTGCATATATATATATACATATATATATATATATTTTTTTTTAAAGTAGCTATATGTGCCTTGCAGTATGTGGCTTGCCTGTAGCCAGGGAGCCCTAGTCCCCATGGGGACTTCCTGGTCACCTCTCTCGGCTAGATTCTGCAGGATTGCAGGGCCTACTTGCTGGTCTGTGCCCATCCAGATGCCTGCTGGAGGGTCCAGAGATGCCAGCCAGCGAGTGAGGGCCCAGGTGGTGTGGGGTTGCTGTGCACTGCTCTCATGGCATGGTAGCCTCCATCCTCCAACCCCAAGTGAGCCACTAGGCCTGAATGCCTGCAGCCTAACTTCCTTTCTGTCTCTGTCCTTCTTAGTTTCAGATGGACATCCCCCACACCATGGCCCCTTCCTGGCCCTCAGAACTTCTGCCGCAGATGGGGGTGAGGGCACAAAGCTCGCCAGGCAGCCTTAGGAGGCTCAGGAGGGAGAAGCCAGGGCTCTCAGGTCCCTAGGAAGGACAGTGGCTGCCCAAGTCACAGCAACCTTCCCCGAGTGACCTGCAGTACTGGGAGGGCTGTGGAGTATGTGACATGCACAAGCCTGCAGGACTGTGGTCAAATGAGGAGGCCAAGTTTAGCACCAGTGTTGCCTTTGTGAACACCCTGATGCTGGTTCAGGGCCCCACACCACTAGGAGGGTGTGCTGAGGAAGACTATGGATGGCATGCCAAGAGCATGCTGACCATGGCATCAAGGAGGGCATCCTTAGGGGTTGCCAGCTGGGGAGGACAGAGGACATGTGGCATGACCTGTGCTGTGGGTTGGACTCGCCTGGGCTCAGCACATCTGAGGCTGGAGGAGGCTTCAACTCCTGCCCTTGGCAATAGATGGTGCCCCTGTTGGAGGTCCTGGAGGTGGCACTTCCTGCAATGGCAGGTGCCATATGAGTCACTCCACAGGGACAGAGGCCAGCCTT